TCCTCTGGTGCGGCTAAGTCTCTCGTTGTGACTACTGCGCCTTTTGACCCCCCTCTGGGGGTTCACAACGCCGTTCGCGCCCCAGCCGCACTCGCTCGATTCCTGCCCGTACTGACGCGTATCAGGCCTTGTTTGGTCCCGCTTCATGGGCCAAATACTTTGATCTCCTTCCTCTTGATTCTGCGCCTCCTGACGATTTCTCCCTCCATCGGCATCTTGTTGATTCCGTGGATGCGTCTGTTACCTTCAACCCCACTCGTCTCGGTACACGTGTTGTTGCTGCTCTTTCTCAGGATGCAGCTTCCCGCTTGGCTGCCTTATCTTGCCTTGGCGAGATCCCTGTTCGGGTCTCCAAGAACGTTCGGATGAATGCCAGTGTTGGCACTATTCTCCTCCCGCCCCATCTTGCAACCGGTGTTCGGAATCTGCAGGATTGCCACGATGATATTCGGCATGTCCTTGATGCCCAAGGCCATTCTGTCCTCCAGGTTGACTCGTTTACTCGTCCCCCTCGTGGTCGTCGCCGTTAACCCCTTCGTGTTGTGAAGATCACCTTTGATGGTAGGACCCTTCCATCCTCTGTCATTCTTGCTGGTGCTAGGTGCTCTGTCCAGGAGTATATTCCTTCTCCTCGACTTTGTAACAAGTGCTGGAGGTTTGGGCATGGTGCCCTCCGCTGCTCTGGGACTCTCTCTCTGTCCTTTGTGTGGGGGTGAAGGTCACTCTAAGTCGGAGTGCACTTCTCCCTAAGCTCGCTGCCTCAACTGTGGTGAGGCCCATCCTACCTTCTCCCGTGCCTGTATCCATTACAAGCTTGAGGCAGCCGTCCTCAACTTGAAGCACCGGGAGCATTTATCTTTTCCTGAGGCAAGGCGCCAGGTTCGCCGGCTCCCGCCTTATGCTAACGTCTCTTATGCTCGCGTGTTGCGCTCTTCCTCTCCTCATCCTTCCCTCCTTCCTCAGACTCACAACCGTTTCCGGGCCTTGGACCCTGATACGCCCACTGCCCCCTCCTCTGTTCCTTTGTGTTCTGTCCCGAGGGGTCCCCCTCCTGGTCGTCTGTCTGGGGTTCCCCTTCTTTCTACCCGGTCCGTCATGTCTCCTGTGTCTTCTTCCTCGTCTCCCTCTGATCCTCCTTCCCATCCTCTTCCTCCATCTATCGGCTCTCCCCGCCGCCTGTCGGTGCAGGCGGATGTCCATCGCTCTCCTAACGGCCGTCGTGTGCTCTCGTTCAGTTTCTCCCGTTGAGACACTGGAATCTGTTGCCCGGTATGTAGTTGCTGGGACACTGGTCTCTTTAAGTCAGAAGCGTAAGCCTGGCTCCTCTCCTTCCTCCTCCCCGGCGGGTAAGAAGGCTTCGCTTTCTTCCTCAGCTCCTACGTCTGGCTCTGTTGCTCCTTCCCCTCCCAATTCAGTGATTGCGCCCCCTGTTCTTGCTATGGAGGTTTCTTTGGCCCCTGCTTCCCTTTCGATTGCTGCTCTTGCTGAGGTGCGCTCCCTTCTTTCTACTCCCCCTCTTCCTGCTGCTGTCCTTGACTGCTCCTCTCCGTTGTCTCCTCCTCCTCCTCCGGACCCCGCCCGCCCACCTCTGGTCTGTTCTCCCGCTTCCTTCCCTCCGTCTTTGCTCAGTTTACCCATGCCCCCTAACCCTGACTTTGCCGACCCTGATATTCTTTAACGTGCTGTGTTGCTCTTTTGCCTTTGTTTCTTCCTTGTTCTCTGTTGTTGCCCTTTCCCTTCTCGTCGTTGTCTATTCTTCAATGGAATGTTCGAGGTTATTATGCCAATTTCCTCGAACTCCAATGTCTGATTTCGCGGTTTTCGCCTCTTTGTGTCTGTCTCCAGGAGCCAATGCTTGGTGCTCGTCCTGGTCGTTTTCGTGGCTATTCCTTTCTCTCCCTCCCCCCCCCCCCCAAGCCATTGCTGGGGCTCCTAATTCTTCTGCTCTCTTGATTCGTGCTGATGTTCCCTTTGTTCCTTTACTTTTTCCTTTGCCTCTCCATTGTTCTGCTTGCTTGTATCTTTGTGGGAAAATGGTACACAGTTTGTTCCATTTATCACCTCCCGAGTGTCCCGCTTTCTCTTCCTGATTTGAAACGCCTCTTGCACTCCTTGCCGGAGCCTGTGCTCCTGCTGGGTGACTTCAATTGTCATCATTCTCTTTGGGGTGACGTTCTGACGAATACCCGGGGTCGCATCCTTGAGCCGTTTCTCCTCTCTTCTTCCCTCTCTTCTTCTCTTCTGAATTCTGGTGAGCCCACTCATTTGGACTCTTGGACTCGCACCCTTTCCTGTCTTGATCTTTCTCTCTGCTCTTCTTCCCTTTACTTAGATTTCACGTGGCAGGTTCTTGATGACCTCCATGGCAGTGATCATTTCCCTATCCTTGTTTCCTTTTTCTCGTTTCGCCCTTCCCTCTCTTTTCCTAGGTGGCAGTTTGGTAAGCGGACTGGAACCTATTTACTCTGTGCTGCTCTTTCTGACCTCTCCCTTCTGCCTCTCCCTCACGCTCTCCTCCTTTTTCATGACATTGTCTTCGTCGCTGCCCTCTGCTCTATTCCTCGCTCTTCCTCTCGGGGTCCACGGAAGTGCGTTTCCTGGTGGACTGCGGACTGTGCTCGGGTTGTCCGCTGTAAGCGTGCAGCATGGAAGAGGCACCGCCGTCGGCAGACGGCCGATTCTTTTCTTTCGGAAAGCGAGTGCGGTGGCCCGTAGGGCCAGTCCCTGTGTGTGGTGTAGAAGAAAAAAAAAAGTTAGTAAACAGTTGATTGACAGTTGAGAGGCGGGTCGAAAGAGCAAAGCTCAACCCCCGCAAACACAGCTAGGTGAATACGACATGTCCTGGTGAACTTGGAGGTCTATATTCGTATTGCTTTTGCTGCGAAGACCTGCGTTGTTGCCGTCCTTTTTGACCTGGAAAAGGTTTACGACACCACTTGGCGATATCATATTCTATCTCGACTGCATTCTTTTGGCCTTCGTGGTCATCTCCCTCTCTTTCTCTGCAGCTTCCTCTCTCGTCGTTCCTTTCGGGTGCGCCTTGGTACCGCGCTCTCTGCCTCTTTTCAGCAATACGAAAGTGTGCCCCAGGGTAGTATTCTGAGCACTACTCTTTTTCTGGTTGCCCTCAATGGTCTACTTTCCTCTCTTCCTTCAGGTGTGTTCTCCGCTCTCTGTCGATGATCTTACCCTTTGCTGTCAGTGATGATTCGCCTCTCCTTCAGCGCCGGCTTCAACTTGCAATTGATGCCATGTCGTCTTGGGCCACCGATCATGGCTTCAAGTTCTCTACTAATAAGACGTGTGCCATGACTTTTACGCGGAAACGGGTCGTTCTTCGTCCCTCTTTGTCACTTTATGGTCATCCCCTTGATTACAAAGATTCCGCGAAGCTTTTGGGGTTATTCCTTGACACTCGTTTGTTTTGGTCTCCCCATATCTCTTACCTCCGTGTTGAGTGCTCTAAGGCCCTTACCCTGTACTTCGGAGGGTACCCTTACCCTCCTTCGGATCTTGTCCCATACTTCTTGGGGGGCAGATAGGCGCGCACTCCTTGCTTTACATTCCTCTCTCGTCCTGTCTAAGCTCGATTACGGTTGCCCTGCTTACTCGTCTGCTTCTCCTTCTCCTGTCTCTCCAGGACCGCCGTGATCACTACTGTCTTTGCTATCTTGCGCGGTCCTTACAACATCCTTCCTCTCGCCTCTGTCGTGCTTTAACTTTTACCCCTCCTGCAGTTCCAGTTCCTCTTCACCACCTCCCTCTTTCTGTCCGGTTATCTTGCTTACAGGATTCTCTTTCCGTTCGTATTTCTAATGTTTCTCCTCGTGTTGTTCCTTCTTTGCACCCGTGGAGAGTCCCTCTTCCGCGGTTTTGTACATCCTTGACCCATATCACTAAAGCTTTTACCCCTCCTACAGTTCTAAAACGCCTTTTCCTTGAGCACTTTTCTTCTCACTACCGCTCCGTTTCTGTCTTCACCGATGGGTCTAAGTCTGTGGCCGGTGTTGGCTACTGTTGTTTTTCCTGATCGCACTTATGTGTCGCTTACCTCTGGAGACTAGCATCTTTACAGTGGAGCTTTATGCTATTCTCTATGCTCTTCGTCTCCTGCTTTCTCATTGTCAGTCTTCCTTTATAGTTGTTGTTGACTCTCGTATTGCCCTCATGGCTCTCGGGTCCTTTAACCCGGTTCATCCAGTAGTTGTCGAGATCCAGCATTGGCTGTTTCTTGTTCACAGTAAATTTAAGTCGGTTGAGTTTTGTTGGGTTCCCAGCCATATTGGTGTCTCTAAATGAGCGTGCGGATGCTGCCGCCAACGAAGCTGTCCGCTCTTGTCCCATCTCTCGTAAAGGTATTCCATATTCCGACTTTTACCCGGTTATCCATTCCTCCTTCCTTACCCGTTGGCAGGCTTCTTGGTCGTCTGTTACTGGTAACAAACTACTTACTCTTAAATGTTGTGTTTCCTTGTGGCCGTCCTCCTACCACCGTAACCGGCGATGGGAAACAGCTCTGGCGAGGTTGCGTATTGGCCATACTCGCTTAACCCATGGTTACTTGATGGAGCACCACCCTGCTCCTTATTGTCCTAGTTGCATTGTCCCTCTTACGGTTGTGCATGTCCTCCTTGAATGTCCTGACTTCCAGGAGGAGCGTGTGTCTTGCTTTCCGACCGCCCCTCGCAGTCACCTGTCCCTCAATAGAATTCTTGGTGACTCGGATACTTTTGATATCGTTCGCCTTATGTGTTTTTGTTCTCGTATTGGCATCCTTGGTGATATTTAGCACCCTCTGATTATTCTGCGCATTTGATGGTGCTACATAGCCTTCCTGGTTTGGTGCCTTCTTTTTATAATTACTTACTTACCCATACTAGGGCCTTGCCGCTTACTCCTGCCTGCCTCTCAAGTTTGAGTAGCAGTCTCAGTGTGTGTGTGTGTGTGTGGTGCGTGCATGCGTGCATGACTGCTTGTGATAGACATGTACTGTATTGCAGGTAACGACATCTTGCAAGGCAATGAGCTCATGTTCTTCGGACATCGCCAGCAACCTCAGAAGGTGATGATACCAGCCGGTGTCGGCCACATCTTCCTCTACTCCACAGTGAGCGCCGTCGACGCCAAGGGCTTCAATATCACCTACAACACCACAGGTCAGTATGCCGACCGCAGTGACAAATGTCTTTGTATCGGCCAAAGAACCACCTGCAACATAAACATGAATTAAAATGTTGCATCTGCTCTCACATAAGCAAGACCGTTAGTATGTATAGATGTTTATCATGTGGTCCCCAGATGCGCCCTAGGTGCCTTAACATTTATTGGAAACTGAATACTGACCTGTGTTTAGGTCATTATTCTGAGCTAATGAGTTTTGCACTTGGCAAGGAATGTCTTGTGTTTACTGTTAGAGATTCCGATACAAGATTCGTGAGTAGTTTGGTAGACAATATTTGCATCTTGAGGCAGTGATGACCTACTCAATACTTGCCATCTGGGAGATGTGTGATATTGGAACTTGAATGTAACTTTCACCGTAAGAGTAACTGTTTTCCTGTGATGCTTTCTTTTGCTATTTTGCTTCCCTTTCCTCTCTCGCTTTCTCTTATGTTCTTCTCCATTCCACATTTCCCCTCGTCGTACTCTATCTCTCTTTCGCTAACCCCTCGTTGCCTGCCTGGTGCCCGCCTGCCTGCCTGGTGCCCGCCCGCCTGCCTGCCTGGTGCCCGCCTGCCTGCCTGCCTGGTGCCCGCCTGCCTGCCTGCCTGGTGCCCGCCTGCCTGCCTGGTGCCCGCCTGCCTGCCTGCCTGGTGCCCGCCTGCCTGCCTGCCTGGTGCCCGCCTGCCTGCCTGCCTGGTGCCCGCCTGCCTGCCTGCCTGGTGCCCGCCTGCCTGGTGTCCACCTGCCTGGTGCCTGCCTGCCTGCCTGGTGCCCGCCTGCCTGGTGCCTGCCTGCCTGGTGCCCGCCTGCCTGGTGCCTGCCTGCCTGGTGCCCGCCTGCCTGGTGCCACAGTGGAGGTGACGACGGAGGCGCCGCCCTCCACCACCACTCGCGCCCCCAACATACCGGAGACATACGTGGCCATCAACGGCATCCCGCTCACCGACGTGAGTCTCCACAACTATCCTTATTCATATATATATTCATGTTTACCTGGGTGAGTCAGTATAAAGTTGTAGGTGTGTGTGTGCCCCTTACCCTTCTCCTTGTGTACATGGTGAGTCAGTGTACCGTAGTGTACCCACACCAATCTTCATGTTCTAACTTTGCTGTACCAACGTGAGTGTGTACACCCTTGTGGCTGTTCGTGGAACACACACTGTATCTTTTTCGTTCGTGTACCGGTGTGTGTGTATGTACCGAGGTGTCTGTGTGTACCTTTCTGGCTGTGTTTGGGCCACTCCGTGAACCACGACAGTGTACTGGCCGGTACAACTTTGTTACTCTAGACACGGTACAACGGTCCATATGTACCACTCTGGTCTCATTGTGTGCTTCTTAGTGACCGCATTTTGTGTGTTGACAACCTAATCTAAACTCCGCCTATGTGTGCAACCCTTGCCTAGACTAGGCCTATGTATGAAATCTGACCTAATATAAACTATGCTGTATATGAAATTTAACATATAAGAACACATAAATATACAACTAGGTCCTATTTTACACCCAATTATTAACTTGTTCTTATCTTAAGGGTTAAAATAGTTTTTTTCACTATGACATTAAGACCCCTGATCTCACTAGTGACAGTAATTGCCTTTTGTATATTAAAAAGCAAATTAGATGATGTTTGGATTAACATCGTAAGAGCAAAAAGATAAATTATCAAACAATGGTTAGATGCTGTTTGAAATCTACTGTAATTCTCTTTACAGTTGGGATTTAAATTGTTGATAGGACAAACTAACATAGATTTATGTGGTACATTGTTGATTCTATGTGTACATTTGTCTCTTTTCCTTACCCCATGTGTGTGTGTTTGAATTTTTGTGTATATTCTTGTAGATATGTGTAGCTTTTGTAGTGGGTATGCATTTGTCTGTGTTCCCATGTATATCTGTGTGTACACTTTGGTCAATGTATACTTGTATGCCTGTATAGGCCAATGTGTTGTGTACACCGTGTGTGTGTGTTTGTGTGTACAGTCAGGTGTGCTACACAGGAAGTCAATTTAATGACAAACAACATACTGTAACAAGGACGCGATAATCAACATCACATATTAATCGGCTTGCATGTCAAATAATTATAATTATTACCTAATGCGAGACCTCTCACAGTGGCAGAGCTACAACGAGTCCTTCAAGAAGAACATTGCCATCATGTCCAACGGCTACCTCCGCCAGCACGACTTTCCAGATGACGTTGTTGTTAGGTGAGTGTGTGTTTGGTGAGTGTGTGTGTTTGGTGAGTGTGTGTGTTTGGTGAGTGTGTGTGTTTGATGAGTGTGTGTTTGATGAGTGTGTGTTTGATGAGTGTGTGTTTGGTGAGTGTGTGTGTTTGGTGAGTGTGTGTGTTTGGTGAGTGTGTGTGTGTTTGGTGAGTGTGTGTGTGTGTGTTGGTGAGTGTGTGTGTGTTTGGTGAGTGTGTGTTTGGTGAGTGTGTGTGTGTGTTTGGTGAGTGTGTGTGTGTGTTTGGTGAGTGTGTGTGTGTGTTTGGTGAGTGTGTGTGTGTGTTTGGTG